TCTATCGACTGGAGGATCGTCTCCTTTGCTCCATGTCTGCACTCAGCAAGCATCAGCAGGGAGGAATCCAGTAGAGTTTCCCACAATGCATGGAGGAGTGCAGTATCTGCACCATTCAGTGTGGAGGCCATTTGTCCCTGTGCCTGGAGCGGCAGAGGCACTGAATGGCAACAGTGTGCCAACCAGACGGACACAAAGGAGTCACCTGCACCCAGAAGTGGACGGAGAGCACAGGGCTCTGGCTAGAGTACAGGAGCACCCAGTTTAAGCAACCATGGTGACGCAGAAACTCTCTTGAACTGATGTTCAGGGTACATTCTTTGGACATCTGTCTCCCAGGGATGCAGCTTCTTTTATTTTTATTTACTTCTATAATTTTATTGCTGGAGACCAAACCCAAAGCCTCACACATGTTAGTCATGTGTTCTTCCTATGGACTATACTTTCAGGGCTTCTTCACTTTATTATTGTTGGTATTGTGTGTGTGAGAGAGAGAGATGTGTGTGCGTGCACACGTGCTAGGGGGAGTGCACATGCCAAGGAGCGTGTGGCGGCCGGAGGACAACCTTGTGGGAATGGTTCTTCCCACCTTTACATGGGTTTCAGGAATCAAACTGAGGTTGCCAGGCTTGCATGGTCAGCACCTTTACCCTCTTAGCCATCTTATTGGCGTTCCCTTTTTTTTTTTAAACATTAAAATGTTTTTGGAGATTCACTTTATTTATTTACAGGTGGCTATGTGAGACAGTGTCTGAGTAAATTGCCCAGGTTGGCTTTGCACTTATTGTGGTTAGTGGTGGCTGTCAGCCTGACAGGGTTTAGAACTACCACAGAAACAAATCTCTGGGCTTGTCTGCGAGGGAGTTCCTAGACCGAGTTAATGAGGTGGGGGAGCCACCCTAAATGCGGGTAGGACCATCTCATGGGCTCAGGTCCAGGCCTGAATAAAAGGAAAAAATGGGCTGAGCACTGGCATTTGTCTCCCTCTGCTTCCTGACTGTGCACACTGATGTGGGAAGCCCCTCTGTATACCGCGAGTATGTTTTATTACCACTGGTTAATAAAGAAGCTGCTTTGGCCTATGGCAGGGCAGAATACCGTTAGGCAGGAAATACAAACGGGGTGGGAGGGCAAAGAGAGAGAAGGCGGAGTGTGTATGGGAAGGGGGAGGACCACATGCCAGCCGCTGCCGGAGGAAGAAGATGCCAGAGCCAGTAAGACACAGGGCATGTGTCATACACAGATTATTAGAAGTGGGTCCATTTATATGTTGGAGCTAGCCAGTCAGAATCCTGAGCCATAGGCCTAAAAGTTTGTAATTAATATCAAGCCACAGAGTGGTCACTGGGGAACTGGCGTGTGGGAGAGAAACCCCCAGTTACAAACTCCTGCTGCTGTGATGGCCCCTGACAGATGGACTGCACCCTTGAGCTGTGAGCCCAAAGAAAACCTCTCTTCCTTGAGTGTCCTTTGTCACAGCAGTGAGAAAAGTTACTGAAATCCATGAAATCCTTCTGCCTCCGTTTCTTGAATACTTGGGATTATGTCTGTGCCTCTGGATTGCAGGCTTATCTGCTCCATTCTGAATAACTCCCGGGCCATAACTCAAGGAGAAAGAGCCCTTTGCACTGACCAGGGCACAAGGGAGAACTGAGGACCATGGGGAAGAAGAGGAGAGGTGCCTCAGCTAGTTGTCCAGAATGTTCCTGGGAGAGGCATGAGGTTTGGTGAGCATCTAGTGATGGGGTGTGGTCTTCCTCCATTGTGATCACTCTGAGCAGAGCCTTCTAGAAGTCTGACTGTGTCCCTTTCTAAACACAAAGTTTCCATGGATCCATCTGCCAAACTCGGGCCCATAGCTGGGGGTGGGAGGGCACTCCGGGAAAGCAACGTGCTTCTAAGAAACACAGCGTTGAGCTGGATGCAAAGCCAGGGCCCAAAGCTGGGTCTTCGGAATTCCCCATTTCCGTCAACCAGATGAGGAACCGGTTCCTCCATTTCAGAGAATCGGTGCAAGCCTGTATCCTCGGCTCCGTGCACAGAAAAAGCCTGAGACAATGTGGGTGGGGCGTTCCCAACTCCGTGACTCCACGGTGTCCCCAGAGGCACAACCTGAAATTCCCTCCAGAGTGAGAATCCAATGTCCTAGCCTTCATCCCGCTCTTGACCTTGTAGGAAACAGCAGCATTAAGGAACTCCAGCGGAGTGGCCAGAGACCGTGTCTCCATCTAGAGCAGAGTTTCTCAGCCTTCCTGATGCTGCGACCCCTCAATACGGTTCATCGTGTTGTGGTGACCCCAACCATAAAATTATTTCATTTCTACTTCATAACTGTAATCTTGCTACTGTTATGAATCATAATGTAAATGTCTGATATGGAGGATATCTGACATGTGACCCCAAAGGGGTCGCGGCCCACAGATTGAGAACCGCTCGTCTGACTTAGTGTTGGAGACTCGGCTTCTGCTGCCAAGAGTGACACACCCACCTGAGCCAAGGTGGCCACTGTCCCACAGGTAACATCAGGGCATGGGGCAGGAACAGTAGACCATCTTTGCATTTCTTTCCCTGACTTAGGGTAAGAGATGGCAAGAACGGAAGGGCAGATTTCAGGAAGGACTTGCGGCTGGTGAGAAACAAGAAAGTGTGTGGCAGGAGGCAGCTGTACTCAGTGCCCGGGGTTGGGCTGAGGGGAAAACTCCAGCAGGAGGGAGTGAGGGGTTATGTGGATTTAATCACAGGACTCACGGCGTGCTTCTCACTTGAATTTGGGATGGAACCTGTTCTGTTGTGATGACAGGGCAGGATCTCAGCCTTGAAAGACCCATGCTGTGGGCAGCCTACCCAATAGAGGACCACCTTGAGCAGTCGAGCTGGGGTCCCTGGTGAGTAGGCTAACCCCGGGATCCACAGCCCCTTCCCCAAAGTACTGGTTCGTTGTCTCACTGTTGTGATAAAAGATACCTGACATAAGCAACTATGGAGGGGTTTGTATCGACTCACGGGTGCAAAAAATGGTGTGTGTGCACATGCATGTGCATGTAGGCTCACACACACCACAGTGTGTGCGTGCTACAGCAGCTACATGCATGTACCTTAGCACCTACGGTGTGTAGAGGTCAGAGGGCAACCTGAGAGCCAGTTTCTCCTTCTGCCTTGGGTTGAGGCGCGGCCTCTCATAGTTTCTTCTGTACTGGAGCCTCTGGCCACTTCCCATGTCTCCCGTCTCACTCCAAGAGTGCTGAGATTACAGATGCCGGCAGCCACATCTGGCTTTTGATGCGGGTTCTGGGGACTGAGCTCAGGTGGGTCACATCTCCCTGGCTCCTATCTGAGCATATGACCCCCATCATGGAAGACAGAGACATGAGGTGACTGACCACACTGCACCAACAGTCAGGAAGCTGTGGGAGAAGGGTCCTGGCCTTAGAGGGCTTTCTTCTTTGTTCATTTTTATTCAGTGTAGGACCACAGCCCAGAGGATGGTGCCGTGTAGAAGGAGCGGTGGGCTGCGTTCCTGCTACCTGGCTCCCGGCCGCCTGGCTAGCTTATGCCCCTAAATAACAACACACAAATTGTATTCTTTTAAACACTGCCTGGCCCATTAGTTCCAGCCTCTTAATGGCTAATTCTCACACTTTGATTAACCCATTTCTATTAATGTGTGTAGCACCACGAGGTGGTGGCTTAACGGGAAAGATTTAGCAAGTCTGACCTGGTGGCTGGCTCCATCAAGTCTGATTCACTTCCCTTCTTTCCAGCATTCTGTTCTGTTTACCCACCTATGTTCTGACCTATCAGGCCAAGCAGTTTCTTTATTAATTAACCAATGAAAGCAACAGATAGACAAATGACCTTCCCACATCATTGCCGCACACATTGAGGGTGGGTCTTTCTACCTCAACTAATTCAGCCTAGGAAATTCTAAAGGCTGATGAGTTGATGGTGAAGATGAGCCATCACACTGCCACACCTGAGGGCCAATTCCAGGCCCATCTTGAACTTCTGGAAGGGACAGGAAGGATGTTGTCGTTACTCTAGCTGTTACCTGGCATCAGCTGAGTCCTGAGCTGGGTAGCCTTTGAGGACTTCCCTCCTTTGGACCCTGATTGTGTGTGAGAAAGACTCGGGACACTGGGTTTGCACAGTCCAGTCAGTCAGACCCTCCCTCTGAGCGAGAAACAGAGACAGAGAGGGCTGGATACCAGAGCTGGGAGAACCTAGGGCAGGGAAGACTCAGAGCAGGGAGGATCCACAATGGGGAGGACTCAGAGCGGGGAGGACCCAGAGCAGGAAGGACCCACAGTGGGGAGGACCCAGAGCTGGGAGGACTCAGAGCTGGGAGGACCCAGAGTGGGGAAGACCCAGAGCTGGGAGACCCAGTGTATGCAGTTCAGTTTTGAACACAGAGCTCTTGTCATGAAAGGTCCTCAGGCCCTTTCCCCTTCGTTGGGGGTTCCCTGGGAGCAAGCTGTGTTCCCTATAACATGTTGATGCAGGAACAAGATGGGGTGCTTTGTCACGGTCACTTGCTCCAGGTATAGAGTGACTTGCACCAGAGCGACTCTCTCTCTTTCCATGCTGGCAACTTCTGAAAGCAGCATCCCGACTTCCTGAGAAGCTGAGCTGGGGACTCTGGGTTACTCCCAGGTTACTCCTCCATCTCTGCCAGTTCTTATTCAACTAGGGATAGGGTAGTCCCTGGATAGGGCCAAAGCCAGGGCTAGGATCTAAGGCTAACTTGTCATGGGGTCTTCTAGTTGTTTCTTTGCCATGTGGTTGTTCTAAAAAGTGACTATGTGTTTGTGTGACACAGGCGTGAGTGTATCTGCACACACACCATACTGCTCACACACCTACATGTACACCATACACCATTCACACACCTGCACACGCACCATACACTGCTCACACACCTGCACATGAACCATACACCGCTCACACACCTGTACACACACAGTGACGTGTTTGAAAGTCAAGGTGACAAGGTATAGACTTTTATTGGCTCATTCATTGTCTGCTTGACTAGGTGTGGAGTCAACGGATGAGTCTTCAAAGGTGTTCCCAGGCGGTTAACTGAGGTGGAAGACCACCTGAAGGTGAGAGGCTCCATCCTGTGGGCTGGGACCCATGAATTGAATGAAAAACAGACTTAGAAGGCAAGCTGCATCATCATCCTCCCCTCTCCATTTCTCAGTCTGCCTAGATGCCTGGAGTCCCAGTGACGCACTCCTGCAGCCTTGACTTTGGCCCCGCCCCGCCATGATGGACTCTGCACCCTCAAACCACAAACAAAACAAACCTTTCCTCCCATACATTGCTTTTCTGTCAAGCATTGGGTCACAGTGATGAGGAAAGGAATCGATCCACATGGCTCTCTCCTCTAAGGCCCCCAGCCTCCCTGCAGCCAGACCTTTCCCAAAGCCACCCCAGCTGAGCTGCTCCCCCCTCTTCCATGCCCACATAGGACGGCACCCAGATGCCCACAGCCAGGTACAGAGGATAAAAATACCCAGTGGAAAAACACATGGCTCCAAGTCAAACATTAACCTGTGGGGACTGGTGTGCCAGCCCCAGGTTCCCTCCCAGGCTACCCGACTACCAACACCGCTGGCAGAAGTGTCCCCTCCCTCTGGCCATCACTGAAAACCTCAGGCACTCACTGCTTCTGCTAAGGGGTGTCAGAGAGTCCACCTGAGAACCCCCAGTCCCAAGGTGTGGGTGCCCCCAATCCACAGAGTGTGGTGAAGAAAGCCTCTTCCTGCCCTAACTGGGAACATTCCCCCACTTACCCTTACCCCAAGAGTCGAGTCTCATGTAGCTCAGGCTAGCCTTAAGCTGACACTATAAAGCCAAGGATGACCTTGAACTTCCTGCCTCCCCCTCCTGAACTGTGTGTTCCACCATGCCTGCTCTGTGCAGCGCCAGGGGTGGAACCAGAGCTTTGGGTGTGCTAGGCCAGCATTCTGCTAACTGAGCACTGTTCCCAGAGCTACCTACAACACTTCTGAGGGTCCAGATCCCTGGCTTCTTCAGGGAAGGCATCCTGGCCCACAGCTGCCCACAGCTTCTCTGTCCTCTTTCTTTTTGGCTGCAGACTTGAGCTCACTTAGACTCTGGAAGGGAAGGAAGATTGGAAGGAAGGATGTGAGGGAAAAAGAAAGGGCTGCTGGAGGGAGGGACAGTGGGCCACAGCAGGAGGGAGGACTGGCCCCCACATGCTGGAAGGCCACCTGGAAGAGCTATGCGAAGAGGGAGCCAGCGAGCTGTGCCTCTTTGTGCCCATTCCCTGCATGCCTGTGTCTGGTATTTTCTAAGACTAGGGAGGCCAGAAGGTGGATTCCTCCCAAGGGCCCTCGGGATCTAGCAGGCAGGGTAGGGTCCCCACAGCTACCTGATGCTGATCGGCTGAGAGGCCTGACCCCGCCTCTGCCGCCTCCTCCTCCCACACCTGTGAGGGCCAGTGCCCAACAGTTCTAGGAAATGTCTGCCCTGTACATTTGAGCTGGGGCCAAATGCCCTGTTTTATGTCAAGGAAGTTTGACTGTATACCTCACAAAGAAGATGGTCCATAGGAAACACACCTGCCCATTCCTCCAGCTGGGGTGGGTGTGTGTGGGGTCAGGGTACAGACATCTGCAGCCCAGGGGTTTCTCCGGGGCCAGGGAAGACCCATCCTCTGCGATGCCCACAGCAGCAGCACAGGGCCTGCTGGATGTATAAATATTAACTTCTAATGGGAAGTAGAGTGGGTCAGCGAGGGCCACCTGCCTCCCAGGCTGCCAAGTGTTGGGCTGGCCCCTGGGTTTAGAGTCCAGCGCCCGGCAGAGCAGGGAAGCCTGGGACCCGCAGTTTCCGAAACACTGGGGCTATTTTGCACACAGGAATTCCTGCCCAGGACTTCCACCGGGGTTCCCTAGGGTGTTTCTCACCAGGCTGGTGGTCACTGTGCCAGGAAGGGCATCTGGAGACAACTCCAAAAGGCCTGGCTTGGGCAGGCTACCCAGAAGACCCTGGGGGCTCTGAAGGCCCTCCGTTTAAGGTCAACTTCTGGTCTTTATGTGGTGCCTATCACGCAGAAGTTATTCCACTAAAAAGTACTCTGCTTGATGATTCTCTCCTTGTTGGGCCTCAGGTTCCCCATCTATAAAATGGGAGCACTCACACCCTGTTCACAGGACTGAATGAGGGACTCTTTAGATAGTCGTTGTTGGGCACTTGTTGGTCTTGTCACTACCAGCGCAGTTGTCACTTATGCCTCTGGCCTCCTCATTTGGATTTGGTCTGGATTTTGGTCCCTCGAGAGCTGGGCTGGAGGTCCAAGGCTCCAAGCATGTGTTCCTTTCCTTGGCTCCGGCACACACCCGGTCTTTCCCTCCCCGCCCCAACGGGCAGAACAGCATCACAGCTTCCCTCATTATCACGCTGACATTTGTTTTGGCTCTTGCAGCAATGACCTGTTGAACGAACAAAGGCTGAGGGAGACCAATAATGGGATGGCCAGGAGCCCAGCTTTGGAAAGAGCCGCAGGCAGAGGTGTTGGTCCGTGCCCTGACCTCAGGCCGGAGGAACAAAGCTGCGGGGGCAGGGAGGTGGGTGTGAGGTGGAGGTCAGGACGGGGCTCCCCAAGCCGAAGACCCAAGCTGGGGGAGGGAGGCTTGCATCTGGATGCCATCTGGATCAGAGCAAACACCCAGGGGCCACTCAAGGAAATGCTTGCTTGAGAGCAAATCAAACCCTGCCCGAAATCACCAGCAAGCCCTTGAAGCGAATGTCTGAATGTCTGAGGAGAGGAATGTGTCTGAGGAGAGCTGGGGGTGGGGAGCCAGAGTTAGGAGGAAGAGAGGAAGGGGAAGCGGGGGGGGGGGGGGGGGGGGGGGGGGGGGGGGGGGGGGGGGGGGGGGGGGGGGGGGGGGGGGGGGGAAGGGTTCAGCCCTGTAGACACACCCTCTAGGGGGTATGAAGAATATGGGGATCCCAAACATGAAGGGAGTTGGCTTTGCCTCAGAGTCCTGGGTTTCAGAACCCCTTGTCAGACCCTGGCCCCTTCAGGGGTGCTACCCTGCAGGTCAATAGCTGTCCGCACTGACAGAGTGTCTACTGTGTGATAGTCCCAGAGGAGACCTCAGAAGTGCGACCCAACCAGTGTGGGTGACCTGGAGTCTGACAGACTGGATTCCACTCTGTGTTTGGCCCAAAGGGCCATTCCTGGTGGCCAACTAGCTTGTCCCCATTCTCATATCTTAGTGAGTTGTCACCTTGCAGGTTTTGGGGGGTCCTGAAGCACACAGGGCCAGGGCCAATCTTGGGGCAATGCAATGGATTGTGGGGGAACCCTCAAATCTTTGTACAGCCTGGGAACTGTAAGAAGCAGGCAATTGACACAGCCCTGTCTCAATCCAAGGTAGGTCTTTGAGAATGACACACCAAGCAAGGGGCCAGGATACAATTGCCCCGAGAACCAGACACCCCCAGACCCAGACAGATCAACACCCAGATAGGGATCACCTCCCTACAGGCCAGGCAACACCCTGCAATAAAGGCACATGCGTGCTAAGAAGTAGGTGCCTTTGTGTGGGCCGCCTGGGTGTGCACATACATGTTTGTTTGTGTATGTTTATATGTGTTGGTTTGTATGGTTTATGGTTGTTTCAATGTGTTTGTGAATTTTCTTGTGTGCACGTGCGTGTCTGTAGTTGCATATACTTGTAAATGTACATGTCTGTGTGATGTTCCTCTCTATGTTTGGATAGATATAGATTTATACACCTATACATGCTTTTTCATACGTGTGCATATGTGTAAGGAGGTGTGCAGGTGCCTGCGGAGGCCAGAGACACCGAGTTTCTTAGAGCTGGAACCACAGGAGGATGTGGGCCCGTGCTAGAGAAGCAAGCATTCTCACCAGCCGATTTGGCCTCTCTGGGCCTCCATGGGCCCAGCTGAACCCACACCTGGTGAGCCCTGTCCTGCTTGCCACATGAGGCCGGGGGTAAAGGAGCATGAGAGTGAGCAAGCCGGTCCGCATGGGCTGAGTGCCTCACAGGCACCTCGCAGAGGCCTCACAGGGGGCCTGGTGAGCCTTACTTGCCCCTAGAACTGCAGAGGAGTGGGGCTAGGCAGCCTTCCCTAAGCAGTTTCTTCAGAGACAAAATGGAATTCAGGACTCAGTAAGAAGGTGAGGATGGATCTCCAGGAGACTGGCATTTGAAAGGACTTCCAGGGGCCAGGAGAGGCCAGATGGGTACAGGCCATCTATCTGCCACAAACTTGTACCTGAACTGTGAATAAGTCACTTCACTTCTCTGTGCCTCAGTCCCCCCCATCTGGAAAATGGGATCATATCGGCCTATGCTTCAAAGGGCTACTGTACAGTTTGAAACATGCTGTTACAGAAAGAGTATTTTCGCTTCCCTGTCTGTCAGGGCATGGGATGATAACAGTCTATGCCTCGGAGGGCTAGTGTACAGTCTGAAACACACTTCCCTGGCTGTCGGTGTAGGCTCAGGGTCACCTGTCACTTCCGTCTAACCAGGAAGCCATGGATAGGGACGGTAGGAGTGCAGGGTGTGAGCTGTGGGCAGGAACAGCAGGGGACAGACCAGTACAAGGGTGTCCATTTCTGCAAGTGATCGCGGTCACAACTGAGGCCGATGCATTTGCAAGGAACCTTTTGGGCTTAGCAACACTCTGGATAAACAAGGATGATAAAGACTTAGAGAAACAAAACAAAATCATTTGATGCATCAGTTGGAGAATTGAACCTCAATGCCAAAATATGAGTTTTAAGGCTAAGGCACGGCTTCAGTATCTTTCTCAGAGACACCACACATCCTAGGGGCTCCTAGAATGAGGGGGGCCGGGGAGAGGAGTTTCTTCCTCCCCTTGCCCAGGCCAGGGATGACTTTAAGGAAGAGTTGGGCATGTCCTGATAGCCCAACTCTGGCTTGCTGATTCCCTCCCTCCCCACGAGAATTGGCCCTGTGTCTAAGAAGGTGTGTCAACATAGCTAACCAAATGCGAATGGAACTCAAACGCATCCCTGCTGAGACTGTCAGTGTCGTAACTCCCCTTCTCAGTCTAATCATCACAACAATCTCGCAACAATGATGTCCATGTTAAGTTAAATGGAGCCCATTGAAATTAAGTAACATTGGTCAGAGCCACACAACAGGGCCAGGGATGGACCTCGGGCAGCCTGACTCTTCCAGTCCTGTCCTGAGCACTGATCTCTCAGGGGTCACAGAAGCGGAGTAGGGAAGGAGGCAACATTCCTGACTTCAGAGGGCCTATAAGGAAGGGGAAAAAAATAGACGGGAAGAGTCTTGGGAGCAACTGGCATCCAGGCCAGGCTAGATGGCCTTGACAGCCGTGCCCAGGGACAGGCTGGGTTCCCACAGAGGTGGGAAATACTCGGCAAGGCATCCCAGGCAGGGTCCTAGCAACGAAGCCCTGTTTGGGCTGCCTGTGCCTGGCCAGGAGGTTGGTAGGACAAGGTAGAGGTGGAGCCAGGGCTAAGGGGCCTTGAGATGCCGAGCCGCTGACTTCAATTCTCAGATCAGTCTGAAAACCAAGTCTACTCGCCAGTCCCCAGCAAGAGCACCCCTGCCTGCCGCCCTTCCGGAATCCCGCCTGTCATTCCACAGACGTGATAACTCGAAGTGAGGTAGAGAGAAGTCTGCGTCCAGGATATGGGGATTGGAATCCTTTCATCTCTCACTTGGGTGACCAAATACGAATGACTCCACAACTCTGCGCCTCAGTTTCCTCTTTGTAAATGAAGGATTGATATCAGGGTTGTAAGGATTAAGTGAGGTCATGTCTATACAGTGCCTGTCCTGGTCATCTTGACACTGCCTAGAGTCGCTGGAAGGAAAGTCTCAGTTAAGGAATTACCGAAGCTGGGCGATGGTGGCGCACGCCTTTAATCCCAGCACTCGGGAGGCAGAGGCAGGCGGATCTCTGAGTTCGAGACCAGCCTGGTCTACAGAGCTAACTAGCCAGGTCAGGCTCCAAAGCCACAGAGAAACTCTGTCTCGAAAAACAAAAACAAAAACAAAAAAAAACAAACAAACAAAAAAAGGAATTACCGAGATCAGATCATTCTGTTGGTATGTTTGTGGGGATTGTCTTGCTTCCTAAATAAAGCAAGCTTACCCAGCCCACTGCGGGTGGCACCATCCCTAGGCAGATAATCCTGGACTGTATATAAGAAAGCCAGCTAAGCATGACCCTGTGAGGGTGTTCAAGCCAGCAAGCAAAATTCCTCTGTGGTTTCCACCTTTGAGTTCCTGCTCGAGTTCAGGCCTGACTTCCCTTCATGGTGTACGTAAACTGGGCATCTAAACCAAATACATTCTCTCCTTCCTTAAGGCCACAGTGTTTGTCGTAGCAACAGAGAGTAAACTAGACCAGTATCTAGTCGGATGTATGTGTTCAATTCATCTAACTACGGTATGTCTCTGTGCTGGCTGGGGACACAAAAGATGATACCACAAAAGATGGTATGTACCCCCTTGATGATCTCCAGGAGCGGTAGCAAAAGGAGTAAAGGGTGCTATGGGACCCCGTAGGATTTTCGGCCTATAGAGGGGTGTTTGAACAGATAAATCACTTCTGAACAAGACATAATTGAGGGAATGTGCCTGGCCTTGGGGCACCTAACAATTGCTGGTTTAGCTGAGAGCTAGACTTGATGACAGCCT